ATCAGTTGAGAAGACGGTGAGGCGCCTTTCCCTCTAATAATAATAATAGTTATTAATATTAATACAATAATATAATAATAATGATAATAATAATCAGTTGAGAAGACGGTGAGGCGCCTTTCCCTCTAATAATAATAATAGTTATTAATATTAATACAATAATATAATAATAATGATAATAATAATCAGTAGAGAAGACGGTGAGGCGCCTTTCCCTCTAATAATAATAATAGTTATTAATATTAATACAATAATATAATAATAATGATAATAATAATCAGTAGAGAAGACGGTGAGGCGCCTTTCCCTCTAATAATAATAATAGTTATTAATATTAATACAATAATATAATAATAATGATAATAATAATCAGTAGAGAAGACGGTGAGGCGCCTTTCCCTCTAATAATAAAAATAGTTATTAATATTAATACAATAATATAATAATAATGATAATAATAATCAGTAGAGAAGACGGTGAGGCGCCTTTCCCTCTAATAATAATAATAGTTATTAATATTAATACAATAATATAATAATGATAATAATAATCAGTTGAGAAGACGGTGAGGCGCCTTTCCCTCTAATAATAATAATAGTTATTAATATTAATACAATAATATAATAATGATAATAATAATCAGTAGAGAAGACGGTGAGGCGCCTTTCCCTCTAATAATAATAATAGTTATTAATATTAATACAATAATATAATAATAATGATAATAATAATCAGTTGAGAAGACGGTGAGGCGCCTTTCCCTCTAATAATAATAATAGTTATTAATATTAATACAATAATATAATAATAATGATAATAATAATCAGTAGAGAAGACGGTGAGGCGCCTTTCCCTCTAATAATAATAATAGTTATTAATATTAATACAATAATATAATAATAATGATAATAATAATCAGTAGAGAAGACGGTGAGGCGCCTTTCCCTCTAATTATAATAATAGTTATTAATATTAATACAATAATATAATAATGATAATAATAATCAGTAGAGAAGACGGTGAGGCGCCTTTCCCTCTAATAATAATAATAGTTATTAATATTAATACAATAATATAATAATAATGATAATAATAATCAGTAGAGAAGACGGTGAGGCGCCTTTCCCTCTAATAATAATAATAGTTATTAATATTAATACAATAATATAATAATAATGATAATAATAATCAGTAGAGAAGACGGTGAGGCGCCTTTCACCTCTAATAATAATAATAGTTATTAATATTAATACAATAATATAATAATAATGATAATAATAATCAGTAGAGAAGACGGTGAGGCGCCTTTCCCTCTAATAATAATAATAGTTATTAATATTAATACAATAATATAATAATAATGATAATAATAATCAGTTGAGAAGACGGTGAGGCGCCTTTCCCTCTAATAATAATAATAGTTATTAATATTAATACAATAATATAATAATAATGATAATAATAATCAGTAGAGAAGACGGTGAGGCGCCTTTCCCTCTAATAATAATAATAGTTATTAATATTAATACAATAATATAATAATAATGATAATAATAATCAGTTGAGAAGACGGTGAGGCGCCTTTCCCTCTAATAATAATAATAGTTATTAATATTAATACAATAATATAATAATAATGATAATAATAATCAGTAGAGAAGACGGTGAGGCGCCTTTCCCTCTAATAATAATAATAGTTATTAATATTAATACAATAATATAATAATAATGATAATAATAATCAGTAGAGAAGACGGTGAGGCGCCTTTCCCTCTAATAATAATAATAGTTATTAATATTAATACAATAATATAATAATAATGATAATAATAATCAGTTGAGAAGACGGTGAGGCGCCTTTCCCTCTAATAATAATAATAGTTATTAATATTAATACAATAATATAATAATAATGATAATAATAATCAGTAGAGAAGACGGTGAGGCGCCTTTCACCTCTAATAATAATAATAGTTATTAATATTAATACAATAATATAATAATGATAATAATAATCAGTTGAGAAGACGGTGAGGCGCCTTTCCCTCTAATAATAATAATAGTTATTAATATTAATACAATAATATAATAATAATGATAATAATAATCAGTTGAGAAGACGGTGAGGCGCCTTTCCCTCTAATAATAATAATAGTTATTAATATTAATACAATAATATAATAATGATAATAATAATCAGTTGAGAAGACGGTGAGGCGCCTTTCCCTCTAATAATAATAATAGTTATTAATATTAATACAATAATATAATAATAATGATAATAATAATCAGTTGAGAAGACGGTGAGGCGCCTTTCCCTCTAATAATAATAATAGTTATTAATATTAATACAATAATATAATAATAATGATAATAATAATCAGTTGAGAAGACGGTGAGGCGCCTTTCCCTCTAATAATAATAATAGTTATTAATATTAATACAATAATATAATAATGATAATAATAATCAGTTGAGAAGACGGTGAGGCGCCTTTCACCTCTAATAATAATAATAGTTATTAATATTAATACAATAATATAATAATGATAATAATAATCAGTAGAGAAGACGGTGAGGCGCCTTTCCCTCTAATAATAATAATAGTTATTAATATTAATACAATAATATAATAATAATGATAATAATAATCAGTAGAGAAGACGGTGAGGCGCCTTTCCCTCTAATAATAATAATAGTTATTAATATTAATACAATAATATAATAATAATGATAATAATAATCAGTAGAGAAGACGGCGAGGCGCCTTTCCCTCTAATAATAATAATAGTTATTAATATTAATACAATAATATAATAATGATAATAATAATCAGTTGAGAAGACGGTGAGGCGCCTTTCCCTCTAATAATAATAATAGTTATTAATATTAATACAATAATATAATAATGATAATAATAATCAGTAGAGAAGACGGCGAGGCGCCTTTCACCTCTAATAATAATAATAGTTATTAATATTAATACAATAATATAATAATAATGATAATAATAATCAGTAGAGAAGACGGTGAGGCGCCTTTCCCTCTAATAATAATAATAGTTATTAATATTAATACAATAATATAATAATAATGATAATAATAATCAGTTGAGAAGACGGTGAGGCGCCTTTCCCTCTAATAATAATAATAGTTATTAATATTAATACAATAATATAATAATAATGATAATAATAATCAGTAGAGAAGACGGTGAGGCGCCTTTCCCTCTAATAATAATAATAGTTATTAATATTAATACAATAATATAATAATAATGATAATAATAATCAGTTGAGAAGACGGTGAGGCGCCTTTCCCTCTAATAATAATAATAGTTATTAATATTAATACAATAATATAATAATAATGATAATAATAATCAGTAGAGAAGACGGTGAGGCGCCTTTCCCTCTAATAATAATAATAGTTATTAATATTAATACAATAATATAATAATAATGATAATAATAATCAGTAGAGAAGACGGTGAGGCGCCTTTCCCTCTAATAATAATAATAGTTATTAATATTAATACAATAATATAATAATAATGATAATAATAATCAGTAGAGAAGACGGTGAGGCGCCTTTCCCTCTAATAATAATAATAGTTATTAATATTAATACAATAATATAATAATAATGTTAATAATAAGCAGTAGAGAAGACGGTGAGGCGCCTTTCCCTCTAATAATAATAATAGTTATTAATATTAATACAATAATATAATAATGATAATAATAATCAGTTGAGAAGACGGTGAGGCGCCTTTCCCTCTAATAATAATAATAGTTATTAATATTAATACAATAATATAATAATGATAATAATAATCAGTAGAGAAGACGGCGAGGCGCCTTTCACCTCTAATAATAATAATAGTTATTAATATTAATACAATAATATAATAATAATGATAATAATAATCAGTAGAGAAGACGGTGAGGCGCCTTTCCCTCTAATAATAATAATAGTTATTAATATTAATACAATAATATAATAATGATAATAATAATCAGTAGAGAAGACGGTGAGGCGCCTTTCCCTCTAATAATAATAATAGTTATTAATATTAATACAATAATATAATAATAATGATAATAATAATCAGTAGAGAAGACGGTGAGGCGCCTTTCCCTCTAATAATAATAATAGTTATTAATATTAATACAATAATATAATAATAATGATAATAATAATCAGTTGAGAAGACGGTGAGGCGCCTTTCCCTCTAATAATAATAATAGTTATTAATATTAATACAATAATATAATAATAATGATAATAATAATCAGTAGAGAAGACGGTGAGGCGCCTTTCCCTCTAATAATAATAATAGTTATTAATATTAATACAATAATATAATAATAATGATAATAATAATCAGTAGAGAAGACGGTGAGGCGCCTTTCCCTCTAATAATAATAATAGTTATTAATATTAATACAATAATATAATAATAATGATAATAATAATCAGTAGAGAAGACGGTGAGGCGCCTTTCCCTCTAATAATAATAATAGTTATTAATATTAATACAATAATATAATAATGATAATAATAATCAGTAGAGAAGACGGTGAGGCGCCTTTCCCTCTAATAATAGTTATTAATATTAATACAATAATATAATAATAATGATAATAATAATCAGTAGAGAAGACGGTGAGGCGCCTTTCCCTCTAATAATAATAATAGTTATTAATATTAATACAATAATATAATAATGATAATAATAATCAATAGAGAAGACGGTGAGGCGCCTTTCCCTCTAATAATAATAATAGTTATTAATATTAATACAATAATATAATGATAATAATAATAATCAGTAGAGAAGACGGTGAGGCGCCTTTCCCTTGACAAGGCCGCAAAGGAGTGACGCGAGCTTGGCGGGTCCCCGTTGCCTGGCAACAGTGGGCGGGAAACAGCGCGCGGCCTTTCCTTCCTGCCTTGCTTTGTGGCGGGCTGACTTCCGGCGGCGGGTCTCTATGGTGCGTGCTTCCGCTTCCGCCTCCCGGTCTCTCTCTTTCCTCCATCTCCTCCATCTCCTGTGTGTGTGTGTGTGTCTCTCTCTCCGGCCATGGGCGCCTACCTGTCTCAGCCCAGCACCGCCAAGAGCTCCGGGGACGGGGCCGGGGAAGGCAGCGGGGCATCGCGCCCCCTCCACTTCGGATACAGCGCCATGCAGGGATGGAGGGTCTCCATGGAGGTGAGCCACGCGCAGGGCAGGCCCAACTTCCTAGTGTTTGGGACTACAGCTCCCAGCATTCCTCACAGACTCAGGCCCTTTCCTTTCCCCCCTCAGCCGCTTAACGGCTGAGGGGGGAAAGGAAGGGGCCTGAGTCTGTGAGGAATGCTGGGAGTTGTAGTCCCAAACATAGAGGGAGGGCCCAAGCCTACTCCAGTGGGATTCCTTTCTTCCCAGGTAATCCTCAGAGCTTCTGTTCTTACTTACTTACTTAGGCAATCCCTCCATTCGTGCCTCTTCGAATTCTGCAGCACTGCTGGTCACAGCTGACCTCCAGCTGGAGCGCTCAAGGGTTTCCCAGGGCTTCCCAGTCTCTCTCAGTGTCTATGCCAGGGGTAGGGAACCTTTGGCCCTCCAGCTGTGGTGGACTTCAACTCCCACAATTCCTTGAGGCTCGGCATTCGCCCCAAAGGCTTACCTTGGCCCAATGCCGAGCCTCAAGGAATTGTGGGAGTTGAAGTCCACCACAGCTGGAGGGCCAAAGGTTCCCTACCCCTGGTCTATGCCATTGTTTCTAAGGTTGGCTTTGAGCCCATCTTTCAATCTCTTTTCCTGCCCACCAACATTCCGTTTTCCGTTCTTGAGTCTGGAGGAGAGCAACCACTTTGGAAGACGGTGGTCGGGCATCTGGACAACGTGGCCGGTCCAGCAGATTGGTGGCGGAGGACCATCGCTTAATAATATAACAATAATATAACAATAATCAGTTATGAAGACGGTGAGGCACCTTTCCCTTGACAAGACCTCTAATAATAATAATAATAATAATACTTATTATTATTAATACAATAATATAATAATAAGAGGAGCCCCCGGTGGCGCAGTGGGTTAAAGCACTGAGCTGCTGAGCTTGTTGATCGAAAGGTCGCAGGTTCGATTCCGGGGAGCGGCGTGAGCTTCCGCTGTCAGCCCTAGCTTCTGCCAACCTAGCAGTTCGAAAACATGCAAATGTGAGTAGATCAATAGGTACCGCTCCGGCGGGAAGGTAACGGCGCTCCATGCAGTCATGCCGGCCACATGACCTTGGAGGTGTCTACGGACAACGCTGGCTCTTCGGCTTAGAAATGGAGATGAGCACCACACCCCAGAGTCAGACATGACTGGACTTAATGTCAGGGGACTACCTTTACCTTTACCTATAATAATAAGAAGACAGTGAGCTGCCTTTCCTTTGACAAAACCTCTAATGTGGCAGGTCCAGTGGAGTTGATGGCGGAGGAGCATCGCTTCAATGCTGGTGGTCTTTGCTTCTTCTTCCAGCACGCTGACGTTTGTCCGCTTGTCTTCCCAAGAGATTTGCAGGATTTCCTGGAGGCAGCGCTGATAGAATCGTTCCAGGAGTTGCGTGTGACGTCTGTAGACAGTCCACGTTTCGCAGGCATAGAGCAGGGTTGGGAGGACAATCTATATCTATATAAATACCTTAAAAACAAAAGAACCAATGAACGAAATCACACCAAATTCGGCAACAAAACGTCTCACTACACAAGGAGTGACCCTCACTCAAAAAATTATGATTTTGTCATTTGGGAGTTGTAGTTGCTGGGATTTATAGTTCACCTACAATCAAAGAGCATTCATTCTGAACTCCACCAACGATGGAATTGAACCAAACTTGGCACACAGGCCTCCCATGACCAACAAAAAATACTAGAAGCATTTGGTGGGCATTGACCTTGAGTTTGGGAGTCATAGTTCACCTACATCCAGAGAGCACTGTGGACTCAAACAATGATGGATCTGGACCAAACTTGGCATGAATATTCCATATGCCTAATTTACCTGTCCGAATGTATTCTCCCCTATGAACCATCTAGGTTGTTAAGATTGTCTGGAGGGGCCCTGCTCTCGGTCCCACCAGCCTCTCAGGCGCGTATGGTGGGGACAAGGGACAGGGCCTTCTCGGTGGTGGCCCCTCGACTCTGGAACCCTCTCCCACTGGAGATCAGAACTGCCCCCTCCATTCTGTCGTTCAGAAAACGGGTGAAAACATGGCTATGGGGTTTGGCTTTCGACGAGTGAATCAATATTTCTGTGATCGGATAGATGACGATGCATGATGGACAACGAATTCACTATGACTACTGACCATTGTTATTATGGGATTGCATTTTGCTGTTATAACGTTTTAATTGAATATGTTATATGATGTTTTTAATGATTGTTTTGTGATTTTATTTCTGGAAACCGGCCCGAGTCCCCCGATAGAGGGGAGAAGACCGGCATACAAAATTGCTAAATAAATAAATAATCAAAGCCCTCCTGAGAGAGAGGCATTCAGCCATAGATATAGATATATATATATGATACACACACACACACACACAGATAAAGTATTATAGATTTGAAAGGGACTAGTAGCTTTATAAACAAGCTTTATAAACAACAAGCTTTATAATAGCTTTATAAACATTCAGCCAACAAAAGAATAACAAAGCCAGTGGACCTGATGGGATCCCTGCTGAAATCTTTAAAGATGGAGGACCTGAGCTGACACAACAACTCCACCAGCTCATAGAAAAAGTGTGGGTGACCGAGAAAATCCCAGCAGATTTCAAGGATGCCACCATCATCACCCTCTTCAAAAAAGGGGAAAGAACAGACTGCTGAAACTATCGAGGTATCTCCCTTCTAACCTCTGCTGGGAAAATCCTCGCAAGAATCCTTGCAAACCGCCTTCTGCCCCTCTCAGAAGACACCCTCCCAGAATCCCAGAATGGCTTCCGCCCCTCCAGAGGAACCGTGGACATGATCTTCACTGCACGACAGCTCCAAGAAAAATGCAGGGAACAAAATCAACCTCTGTACATGGCATTCATCGACCTTGCAAAGGCATTCGACACAGTGAATCGCAGCGCTCTCTGGACCATCCTCCACAAAATCGGGTGCCCTGACAAATTTGTGAACATCCTGCGGCTCCTCCATGATGACATGATGGCAACAGTCTTGGACAGCAGTGGCTCCCAAAGTGACCCATTTAAAGTGGAATCCGGTGTCAAACAGGGATGTGTTATTGCCCCAACTCTATTCTCCATCTTCATCGCTATGATACTTCACCTTGTTGATGGGAAGCTTCCCACCGGAGTGGAAATCATCTATCGGACAGATGGCAAGCTATTCAACCTCAGCAGACTGAAAGCCAAAACCAAGGTTACAACAACAACTGTTATAGAACTCCAGTATGCTGATGACAATGTCGTCTGTGCGCATTCAGAAGAAGATCTACAAACCACTCTAAACACCTTCACAGAAGCATACGAGAAGCTCGGCCTGTCATTGAACATTGAAAAAACCAAAGTGCTGTTCCAGCAGTCACCAGCCACCCCCTCTCCAATGCCAGCGATACAGCTTAATTGTGTAAGACCCGTCGCAAACTAGGTTCCTGCGGGAGAAAACCTTGCTAGCATGTCCCTGACGTCATGAGACTCCACCTCTCGCCCCGCCCCTTTCTCCGCCCCTTTCTCTTTGCCAGCGTGGTTTTTCCTTTGCTAGGGGAGCATTGCCCGCATTTTCTCTCAGTTGGCAGAATTCAACTGAGAGAAAATGCGGGCAATGCTGCCCTAGCAAAGGAAAAACCACGCTGGCAAAGAGAAAGGGGCGGGGAGAGAGGCGCAGGCTCATGATGTCAGGGACATGCTAGCAAGGTTTTCTCCCGCAGGAACCTAGTTTGCGACGGCTCTAAAATTAGAAAATGTGGACCATTTCCGCTCCCTTGGCAGCCACCTCTCCACCAAAGTCAACATTGACACTGAAATACAACACCACCTGAGCTCTGCGAGTGCAGCATTTTCCCGAATGAAGCAGAAAGTGTTTGAGGACCGAGACATCCGTAGGGAGACCAAGGGGCTTGTCTGTTCTTAAGGTGGAAAGCATGCCTCTGTGTTAAAGATGGATTATGAATCAGCTGGTTTTCCCTGTAATAGACAGTAAGACCACCCAAAGCTTCAGAGATTGTCTATTCAACCTTTTCAAAGCTCCCTGTTTGAGTGGTGGTAATAATAATAATACTTTATTTGTATTCCACTCTATCACCTCGAGGGGACTCAGAGAGGATTGTGTATTTTGTGTATTTTATGGAAATATGCTTACATATTTATTTATTTGCTAGCTGTACCCACCACGCGTTGCTGTGGCCAACCTTCCCTCCTTCTTTCTCTCCTTTCTTTCTCTCCTCCCTCCCTCTTTTCTTCCCTCTTTTCCTTTCGCTTCTTCTTCCCCTCTTTCTCTCCCTCCTTCGCTACCAAACTTGGGCCAAACTTCCAACACAGAAGCCCTATGACCAACAGAAAATACTGTGGTTTCTGATGGTCTTTGGCGACCCCTCTGACACCTCCTTGTGACCCCCCCCCAGGGGTCCCGACCCCCCAGGTTGAGAAACACTGGCTTAGGGCGTCACCCAATTAGCTCATCAATCTTTTAGCAGTTAATCGAGCTGTTCTCTGACTCCCTCTGTCTTTCTGCAAAAGTAGGCACCTGCAAAGCCTCATTGTCGGATTTTTCTTTCTCTCCCTCCAAGACCTGAGCACCTCCCTGCTCCCCTTCCTCTTCCGACAATGAGGAATCATCAACAGGAGGGAGGGGACAGATCTAATTTCATTCGGGAGGGAATTCCGTAGCCGAGGGGCCACCACAGAAAAGGCCCTGTCTCTTGTTCCCACCGGACGTGCCTGCGAAGGGGGCGAGACCGAGAGCAGGGCCTCTCCAGACGATCTTAACACTCTTGATGGTTCATATACATAGGTAAAGGTGAAGGTTTTCCCCTGACGTGAAGTCCAGTCGTGCCTGATTCTGGTGCTCATCTCCATTTCCAAGCCAAAGGGACAGCGTTGTCCATAGACACCTCCAAGGTCATGTGTACAGCATGACTGCATGGAGCACTGTTAACTGTTTAAGGGGCTTCATTGGCTGCCGTCTGTCTTCCGGGAGAAAGGCCTCAGTGTGAGGTAGAGCTCAGTATTAGGTAAAGATAAAGATTTCCCCTGACATTAAGTCCAGTCATGTCTGACTCTGTGGGTTGGTGCTCATCTCCATAGGAAGGCGCTCCAAAGGGTCACCAGTTCTGCACAGGGAATCATGGGTTGCCCCTTTCTCCCCTCTTTGGAAGAACTTTATATTTCCTGAAGCCTTAAGAAAGCTTGGCACATCCTTAGGGATTCACCTCACTCAACATAGTCTTTAAAAAAAATTACCATTTAGCAGACAGTACAGGGTGACAAAGGCAACGACAAATAGAGAGACAGTTTTTATCCTAGAGCCGTGCGCCTATGTTGAACTCCATGGTTTTGCATTGATGTAGCATTGGGGGCTGTGTGTTGTGGTGGAAGTGCGGAGGGGTGGGTGTGTTGTTTTGTAGTGTGTACTGGAGAAGACATGTCATTTCATTGTATACTATTCAATGGCCTCCTTGGTGTGCAGCGGGTTAAACAGTTGAGCTGCTGAACTTGCTGCCCGAAAGATTGGTAGTTTGAATCCGGGCAGTGGGGTGAGCTCCTGCTGTCAGCACGAGCTTCTGCCAACCTAGCAGTTCAAAAACATGCAAATGCGAGTAGATCAGTGGGTATCACTCCGGCTGGAAGGTAATGGTGTTCCATGCAGTCCTGCCAGTGGCCACATGACCTTGGAGGTGTCTATGGACAACGCCGGCTCTTTGGCTTAGGAATGGAGATGAGCACCAGAGTCCCAGAATCGGACTTGATTAGACTTAAAATCAGGGGAAACCTTTACCTTTCATTCTATTCTCCTGACTTGCTTCTTCCCTGTCTCTCTTGCAGGACGCCCACAACTGCATCCCTGACCTGGACAGCGAGACGGCCATGTTCTCCGTCTATGACGGACACGGAGGTACTGCTCCCACCCCAGTGGAAGCCCCCCCCCCTCCCTGCCCTCCTCCCACAACCCCCTCGCTCCCTCCCTGCCCCTCAGGCTTGTTTTCCCTTTGAGGGGGGGGGGCACAGGGAGTCCCTAAAGCACCTCCCTTTATTTCCAGGGGAAGAGGTTGCGCTCTACTGCGCCAAGTACCTCCCGAACATCATCAAGGAGCAGAAGGCCTACAAGGAGGGCAAGCTGCAGAAGGTGAGTCCTTTCACAGCTAGCCCATTGGGTTTCTGCCTGGCCAAGGGGAGGGGATGCAGAGGCCAAGCCCCCTTTGCTGGACACAGCCTTCTCTAAGGGGCCCTCCCTGCCGCTACTCCTCCTTCGCAGGCCCTGGAGGACGCCTTCCTGGCCATCGATGCCCAGCTGACCACCGAGGAGGTGATCCGGGAGCTGGCCCTGCTGGCCGGGCGCTCCAGGGAGGACGGGGACGAGAAGGAGGAGAAGGTGGCCGACGAAGACGACGGTCAGTGGGGCTCCTGTCTCTCTCCAGGAGGGAAGGGGCTGTGGGGCTGGCCTGGGGCAGGGAGTGGCCCTCTGGCATTGTGGGACTCTGGCTCCAGGTGCTCATTACGCAGCTCACTAGTAGAACATCCAGGGAGTTGCAGTTTGCCTGGTCCTAGGGTTAGTGTCCTACTGCGAAAACAAAGGAGCACCTGCAAGCCAAGGCTCAGCTGTGCTTCCTGTCTGCATGACATGGCTCTGCATCTTCTGGGTCACCAGGGGGCTTCCTGCTTTTGTTGTTTATATTGTATGTTGCTGTAATGTATCGCTGGGCTTGGCCTCATGTAAGCCACTTCGAGTCCCCTTTGGGGAGATGGTGGCAGGCGTTGCACTCCAGAACAGGAAGTAGCCCCTCTGACTAAAAACACACTGCACATTGAGTGAAGGAACAATCTTTTTTATTAAAAACTTAGCAAAAAAACAGTAGAAATAAATGCTTGTAAAGGTAGATTCCAATAAGCAATAAGGCATTCAAAGGCAGCAAGATAAAAAAGTGTCCAAACGTAGCCATCAAAAGCAATGTCCAAAAAGCATGAAAATACAATCCAAGGCAATGATTATCCAGGCAGGAATCAAGAAGGAAGAACAGACCAGACACTGCTAGTCTACTTGAAAGGCCAGAAAAATCCATGAAGACAAGACCACTTGAACAAAAATTCCAAACGATGCCTGATCTGACAAGATTCTCTAAAGGCAAACCTTAAATCCCAAAAACTGGTTTCGTTTTCCTCCAGTCTTTGACTTTAACTGACAAATTCTTTCAGATGCATGTAAACATTGGGCCTCTTGTCGATTCTGGCTAATCTCCAGCCACTGACTGCTTATCTGACTCCTCATTAACTTGACCAGGTGCCAGACTGTTTTCCAAACTAGAATCTGGAGAGCTCACAGGCGGAGGGAGTAAACCTTTCTCCCAAGGCTGGACAGAAACATTCTCATGAGAATCTGCCCTTTGCACTGAAGCCTCTCTGTCAGTGTCTGCATGAAACTCATTGACCAAAGTGTCTCCATCTTCCACCTCAGAGTCAGGCCCAGCATCCCCCACATCAGAAGCAACAAGAGACTGACTTCCCTCCTCATTACCCACATCAGACACAGAAACATCAGGAGACTGAAACACAATCACAGGTTCAAGCACAGGCTCAGGTTCAATCACAGGCTGAGTCCCAACAGCAGAGTATAAATAAAGTTTATTATTATTATTATTATTATTATTATTATTATTATTATTATTATGGCTCCCTTTCCTGCCCTTGCCCCCTCATAGGTGTGTTGGGGCAATATGAATAAATTATATTATTTATTTATTATATTATAATAATAGTAATAATAATTTTATTCTTATACCCTGCCACCACATCTGGGTGTCCCTTGGACAATGTCCTTGCAGACAGCCAATTCTCTCTCACCAGAAGCGACTTGCAGTCTCCCAAGTTCCTCCTAACATAAGCTTTTCCTTAATGCCTCCTTATTGTTGCAACTCGCAGTAAGCTTCACCTTGCTTCCAAACACCACCACACAAGAGCTGTAGTTTTATAGTGTATTGAGGAAAAAATCCAAATCAAAATAAAGAATAAGCATTGCAAAGTTCCAAAGATTAAGGTTAAATGCAGAATACAGTTCCAAAGATCTTCAGGTAAAAGCAGGAGACACAATCCTATTGGCAAAGATCAAACCAGAGTCCAAGGTACAAGCAATGAAACAATTGCCCCGTGTTAATCAAGGTGGTCAGTTGAAATATTCACACCTAGCCCAACTGACAAAAGTCCTTTGTCTCACCCTGGTCATTCCACAGATATATAAACCCCTTCCCAGTTCCAACAGACCTCACCTCTGAGGATGCTTGCCATAGATGCAGGCGAAACGTCAGGAGAAATGCCTCTAGAACATGGCCATATAGCCTGAAAAAACCCACAAGAACCTAATTGCCCCATGAATCACAATGCAAGAAATCCCAAGCGTACTGCTTTCCAGGCTAAGATTATTCTATGAAGCTTTCAGGCTAATAAGCTACGTTGAACTGACACTTTCTCTTGGTTTGCAAGAAGTCTAAATACCTTTCTAACATGAAAACATTACATGAAATCATTGCGATGACCTTTCACCGAGCTGGCCTCTTGTCTGCCTGCCAGCCGAGAACTCCGCCTGATCTGGAGATCAAGACGAGCCTGCTGGGTCAGGTCACTGTCAAGGATTTCAGTACTTTCAGTATCAGCGTGGGAAGGAGGCCAATGCCTCCCCGCCTGTTCGCTATCTTCTTTGTTAAAATTCCTTTCACTTGTGTTGATGTTGACTCTGCACTGTCTGTGCTGTCTGTGGGAGCCGCAGGCCCAGAGATCTGAGGCACAGAAAAAGAGCCAGGAATCTGAATCCCATCATCCTCAACATCATAAGAACATCTCAGCCACAACACTTATGATACCTGGTGTTATGGGCTAACCAGGGAAGTGTTTGTGGGGTGGCTGCTGTGACTCTCATTCCCCGAATGAAAGGTCCCTCTCCCGCATGCCTTTCTTTCAGTGGACAAGGAGGAGGCGGCCCTGCTGCATGAGGAGGCCACCATGACCATTGAGGAGCTGCTCACTCGCTACGGCCAGAACTGCGTCAAGGGCAAGCTGGGCCCCCCGGGGAAGGAGCCACCCCAGGAGGAGACCGGTCGCGGGCCCAGCCTGAACGGGGAAGTGGATGCCGGAGAGACCGTGAGGCGCCGCGAGGGGGAGGAGGAGGAGACGGAAGAGGCGACGGACAGTGGCCGACCGGGCCCCGGCTCCGCCCCTCCTGGACCTGGACCGGACATGGCTGGTGGAGGGGACGCGGGGAGTGCAGCCCCAAAGGCGGCCGCCGAGGGAGGGGCTCCGGCTGGGGCAGAGGCTCAGCCGTCCTGCTCCTCGTCCAGCAAGGCCCAGCGGACCACCAAGTCCCGGTTCTTTGAGGACAGCGAGGACGAGTCGGAGGATGCTGAGGAGGAGGAAGAGGAGGAGGAGGACAGCGAGGTACACTCTTGGAGTGGGAGGGGGGCGCCTGGCAAGGCAACACAACGCAGGGATTGCGGTTCGAGCCCTGCCTATCTTTGTGAACCTCTATTTTATTTATTTTATTTATTTCTTGGTGACCACATCCCCCCTCTATTTATTTTATTTATTTGTTTACGACATTTATATGACGCCCTTTTCACCCCGAAGGGGACCCAGAGAGACTTACAAGATATATATACATACAATATATTATATTATTAGCATCGCCCAGAATATCAGTATTATATATTATTATATTGTACCATACCATTATATTGTAACAGTCGTAATATTACATATAAATATAAAATATATGATTATAACATTGTATTATTATTAGTATTATATTGTATTACATTAAAATAGTAGAACTATTGTATGTATATACAATAATATTATATTATTAGCATAGCCCAGAATATCAATATTATATATTATTATATTGTACCATACCATTATATTGTAACATTATTCATAATATTACATACAATATAAAATATATAATTATAACATTGTATTATAATTAGTATTGTTATATTACATTATAATATTATAAATATTATATGTATATACAATATATTCTATTATATTATTAGCATAGCCCAGAATATTGTACTATACCATTATATTGTAATATTATTCATATAATATAAAACATATAATTATAACATTTTATTAGTATTATATTGTATTACATTATAACATTATAAATATTATATGTATGTACAATATATATATTATTTGTAATATCACATATACAATATATAATTATAACATTGTATTTTTATTAGTATTATATTATATTACATTATAATATTATAAATGTTATATGTATGTACAATATATTATATTATTAGCATAGCCCAGAATATCAGTATTATATATTATTATATTGTACTATATCGTTATATTGTAATATTATTCGTAATATTACGTATAAAATATATAATTATAACATTGTATTATTATTAGTATTATGTTGTATTACATTATAATAGTATAACTATTATATGTATATACAATATATTATATTATATATTATATTATATTATTAGCATAGCCCAGAATATCAATATTATATATTATTATATTGTACTATACCATTATATTGTAATATTATTCGTAATATTACATGTAAATATAAAATATATGATTATAACATTGTATTATTATTAGTATTATATTGTATTATAATATTATAAATATTATATTTATGTACAATGCATTATATTATATTATTAGCATAGCCCAGAATATCAGTATTATATATTATTATATTGTACTATACCATTATATTGTAATATTATTTGCAATATTACATATAATATAATATATATAATTATAACATTGTATTATTATTAATATTATGTTGTATTACATTATAATATTATAAATATTATATGTATATACAATATATTATTAGCATAGCCCAGAATATCAGTATTATATATTATTATATTGTACTATACCATTATATTGTAATACTATTCGTAATATAAAATATAAAATATATAATTATAACATTGTATTATTAGCATTATATTGTATTACATTATAATATTATAAATATTATATGTATGTACAATATATTATATTATATTATTAGCATAACCCAGAATATCAGTATTATATATTATTATATTGTACTCTACCATTATATTTATTTATTATTATTATTTATTTATTACTGCGCTTGTATACCGCCGTTTCTCAGCCTACATTGGCGACTCAACGCGGTTTACAACACTACAATAATCAACAATATTCAGTTTAAAAAGCATAAAAACACATACACAATACACAATATTGGGCCACCAATACAAACCAATGCATCTCTTAACTAAAATCATAATCCAATTTCATCGTCTGTGATTACCAGTCCTTGATCATCAACTTCATTGCACCGGATTAGCCGAATGCTTGTTCAAACATCCATGTCTTCAGTCTTTTTCGAAATACCATCAGCGAGGAGGCTGATCTTATCTCTATGGGGAGGGCATTCCAAAGCCGAGGGGCCACCACAGAAAAGGCCCTGTCTCTCGTTCCCGCCAGCTGCACCTGTGAAGCAGGCGGGGTAGAGAGCAGGGCCTCCCCCGAAGATCTTAGGGTCCTGGTGGGCTGATAGGCCGAGATACGTTCGGATAGGTAGGTTGGGCCAGAACCGTTTAGGGCTTTAAAGGCCAACGCCAGCACTTTGAATTGGGCCCGGTAGCAAATCGGCAGCCAGTGGAGCTGGTACAGCAGAGGAGTTGTATGCTCCCTGCGCCCCGCTCCGGTTAGTATCATGGCTGCCGCCCGTTGGACTAATTGGAGCTTCCGAGCCGTCTTCAAAGGCAACCCCACGTAGAGAGCGTTGCAGTAGTCAAGACGGGATGTAACCAGAGCGTGGACTACCGTGGCCAAGTCAGACTTCCCAAGGTACGGTCGCAGTTGGCGCATGAGTTTTAACTGTGCGAATGCTCCCCTGGTCACCGCCGAAACCTGGGGATCCAGGCTCAGAAATGAGTCCAGGATCACCCCCAAACTGCGAACCTGCGTCTTCAGGGGGAGTGCATACATTTTATTTTATATTGTATGTAATGTATATTGTATATATATATTTTATATTGTGTGTAATGTATATTGTATGTAATTTTACATACAATATACATTACATACAATATAAAATATATAATTATAACATTTTATTATTATTAGTATTATATTGTATTACATTATAATATTATAAATAATATATGTATGTACAATATATTATATTATTAGCATAGCCCAGAATATCAGTATTATATATTATTATATTGTACTATACCATTATATTGTAATATTATTCGTAATATTAAATATATAATTATAACATTTTATTATTGTTAGTATTATATTGTATTACATTATAATATTATAAATAATATATGTATGTACAATATATTATATTAGCATAGCCCAGAATATCAGTATTATATATTATTATATTGTACTATACCATTATATTGTAATATTATTCGTAATATTAAATATATAATTATAACATTTTATTATTATTAGTATTATATTGCATTACATTATAACATTATAAATATTATATGTATGTACAATATATATATTATTTGTAATATCACATATACAATATAGAATTATAACTTTGTATTATTATTAGTATTATGTTGTATTACGTTATAATAATATAAATATTATATGTATATACAATATATTATATTATTAGCATAGCCCAGAATATCAGTATTATATATTATTATATTGTACTATACCGTTATATTTCAATATTATTCGTAATACTACATATAATATAAAATAGATAATTATAACATTGTATTATTATTAGTATTATATTGTATTACATTATAATATTATAATTAATATATGTATATACAACATATTATATTATCTTATTAGCATAGCACAGGGGACAAGGTAGAACTGTCTTCCTGGCCCCCTCTCTCTTCACTATGGCCCAAAGCAGCAGTTGTTGTTGTTGTTGTGTTCAGTCTCTTCTGTTTCTTGCCCAGGAGTGCAGTGAAGATGAGGATGGCTATAGTAGCGAGGAAGCAGAGAACGAGGAGGAGGAGGAAGAGGAAGACGACACAGAAGAAGCGGAGGAGGAGGAGGACGACGAAGAGGAGGATGAAGACATGATGCTTCCTGGCATGGATGGAAAGGAGAAGGTCAGCGCCTGGAGCGAGTGGGATGAGGGCTGGCAGAGAGGTGGCATTCCCCCCCCCCCCCGCCCCCCAGACCCACAAATCTCCCTTGTTTATCAGCTTTGGGGAGGAGTCTGTCCCTGAGGGACCCCTGACAGGCCTCTTCCTCTTCCTCCTCTTGCTCTGCAGCCTGGTGCGGACAGCGGCACGACGGCAGTGGTGGCCCTGATCCGGGGCAAGCAACTGATCGTGGCTAATGCGGGGGACTCCCGCTGTGTGGTCTCAGAGGGCGGCAAGGCCCTGGACATGTCATACGACCACAAGCCGGAAGACGAGGTGGAGCTGGCCAGGATTAAGAACGCCGGCGGGAAAGTGACCATGGACGGCCGGGTCAACGGGGGGCTCAACCTCTCCAGGGCCATCGGTGAGCAGTGCGGAGCCGCCTCGGCCTGACCCTGGCTTTTCCCTCTTGGCATCCAGGCAACCCCGTCCCTTGGGGGCTGCCTCAAATAGGAGGTGGGTGGGTGGGTGGCAGGCCAGGTGAGAAAGGCAGGGGCCTGTTTCCTGCATATTTATTTATTTAGAACTTCTGGCTGTTCTAAATATGTATATACATATATGATCTTCTCACCTCCAGCGAGGGACTCAGGCCGGTTTACAACAAAGGAAGTCATACACAATAGTTTAAAAACATCACATCCAATAATACACTAATATAAACACATTAAAGTACTATCATATAATTATATAAGGCTACGTCGTTAGTTAGCATAAAATCACTATTCATCCCCATCCGTTCGTGTGGTCAAGAGTTATTGCCTCACTGATCAAATGCCAGGTTCCAGAGCCTGGCTTTCACCAACTTTCTAAAGGTCAGAAGGGAAGGGGCAGTTCTAATCTCCAGTGGGAGAGAGTTCCAGAGCCGAGGGGCCACCACCGAGAAGGCCCTGTCCCTCGTCCCCACCAGACGCGATTGCAAAGATGGTGGGACTGAGAGCAGGACCCCTCCAGAAGATCTTAACAACCTTGATGGTTCATAGGGGAGAATCCGTTTGGACAGATAAACTGGGCCGGAGTCGTTTAGGGATTTATAGGTCAACACCAGCACTTTGAATTGTGCTCGGAAGCTAATTGGCAGCCAGTGGAGCTGGCGTAACAGAGGAGTAGTACCCCGCTCCTGTTAGTAATCTGGCTGCCGCTCGTTGGACTAGTTGGAGCTTCCGGGCAGTCTTCAAGGGCAACCCCCACGTAGAGAGTGTCGCAGTAGTCTATACGGGGTTTAACCAGAGCGTGGACCACCGTGGCCAAATCAGACTTCCCAGGGTACGGGCGCAGCTGGCGCACAAGTTTTAATTCTGCAAAAGCTCTCCCGGCCACCACTGAGACCAGGATCACTCCCAAGCTGCAAATCTGTGCCTTCAGGGGGAGTGGAACCCATATGGCTGCTGTGAGGCCGCAGTCATGCCCCCTGCACCCGACCTCCTCAGCTACTTCAAACAAGCCGGGCGGCCTTCTCTGTAGCCGAACCCAACGACTGGCAGGTGCATTGGTCTCCCTGTGAATGGAAACCTCATTTAAGCAGTCACTCCTTGATCGTGGTTCTGCTGTGATCCTCTGCTCTTGATTCTCTGTAGTAGTCAGCTGGGCTTTGGAGTCCACTTTAGCATCATGGCCAGTCTTTAACTTCTGGCATTACCCATATTTGTGGCCTTGTGGCATACTTGTGCATCCAACCTTTCAGTCTGAGAAAAAGTTATGAAAATAAAGCTAGTCTGTTTTCATATCTGAGAGAGGACCTTGCAGTCTGAGTCTGAGAAAAAATATGAAGACACAGCTGGGCTTTGGAGACCGTTTCAGCATCTGGGAAAGGAAACTTTTTTTCTGTTGCCATATGGCTTGTCATAGTTGAGATGGGGGTGGGGAGGAGAGGAGTCCAGCTGGTGCTCCAAGCTTCTCTGGTTTGTTTCTGGCCTCGGGGAGCCCGTCTTCTCCTCTCAGACTGTAGGATCTATATCGCAATATTAAATAACCACTCACAAGCCGGTTTTGCTTTGAAATGGATATATTGCTTGTATCTCTGCAGCAAAGAAAGACACTACTGACTTTTTCCCACCACCACTTCCTTTTAGACACCTTTCCTGCCCATCTCCCCTTCTTCCCAGTTTCCTTATTAGAACTTGTTGCTTCACAAGTTCCAATACAAGGTTTCCAGTGCCCTCTGCAGGCTTCAAAATGTCACAGAGAGAGAATTGATTCAGTCCGGATGTCACAGAAGGAATTTGTGATGTCTTCATGCCGTCAGAAATTGACTCCTGACATCCCGGGAGAGGGCTTGGGTTGGGAGGCTTTCCCACTGCTTCCAGCTACTTGTTGCATCCTGTGTGGCCACCAATTGATAGAACACAGATATCTATTACTATTTGAACTCTCAACAACAATAACATAATATTTGTGGCCACCAATGGAGCCGATGGCATTGCAGAATAAGTCTGGCACAAAAGGGATGCTGAAAAAGCCATACTATTCCAGAGCAAGGCCTGTTCTGGAGGTGGATTTGGGGGTGGAGAAGTGGCCAGATCGCAGCACCACGAAGGAGGCTGAAGGACGGCCGATCTGCCTCGGGCCGGGTCTCGGCAGCAGAGCTGACCTTCCTCCCTGCAAAGGCCTGGGGTATTCCCAGTTTCCCCAGCACCCATTTTGACCCCTGCCTTTTGCCTCCAGGGGATCACTTCTACAAGCGCAACAAGAACCTTCCCCCGGAGGAGCAGATGATCTCGGCACTGCCGGACATCAAGGTGCTGACCATCAACGAGGACCACGATTTCATGGTCATTGCTTGTGACGGCATCTGGTAGGTCAAACAGGGTAGCGGGGAATGCAACTGACTTCCCTTGGAATGGGGCCGAGATCAGAGTTGGGGCAATGCAGTCTCGCCCCCCCCTCCCCATTTTTGGTGACCCTTTTTCCTCCCCCAAATCAAGGAACGTCATGAGCAGCCAGGAGGTGGTGGACTTTGTCCAGTCCAAGATCACTCAGAAGGGGGAGAATGGGGAACTCCGGCCTCTTTCGTCCATCGTGGAGGAGGTGAGTACCGGTGGGGGCGCCTCTCTCAGATGGGGGCTGCTCTGAGCTCTTGGTCCCGGGGAGTGGGGGGGGGGGGGTCTGTGAAGGAGAGCTCTTGGACAGACGCGTCTGAGACTTGTGCCCTGGATCAGAGCCCCCTTTCTCCAGCCACCCTTACTCCTGCTGGGGATTGGCCAGTAAAGGTCATTCGGACTCTTCAGTCAAGCCTTGGACAATATTTAGGCCCTAGTTGTCCTACGTAGGAGTCACACGCCTTGCACTTTATCCCATGCTCTCTGGGTGCAGTGCCTCAAGACCTTGGCCTGCACTAAAACACAATTGGCACTGACAAAATTAATAATAATAATAATAATAATAGGGTTGTTGTAGGTTTTTTCAGGCTATATGACCATGTTCTAGAGGCATTCTCTACCTCTACCTCTGAGGATGCTTGCCACCTCACCTCACAATTTCTGAGGATGCTAGCCACAGATGCAGGCAAAACGTCAGGAGAGAATGCCTCTAGAACATGGCCATATAGCCCCAAAAAACCTACAACCCAGTGATTCCGGTCATGAAAGCCTTCGACAATACAATAATAATAATAATAATAGTAAGAAGAAGACATACTAATAAAATTTATACAATCTCACATATAAACACGAATTATAACTTAACAAACCAAAATTAAATAAAAAGCACAGCCTGTTTTAACAGACATAAGACAAAACATCAAATGGAAACAATAATTTCCCATTTCTTTGGGGCAAACTACCACCTGCCAGCTGCAAAAGGCCACTCTACTGGGATCTGTACGCGTTATTTGCTGATACATCACACAGTCCTAGACACTTGGGAAGGGTCCGACGTGGGATCCAATACAACAGCCGGCAGAGTGTCTGCTGTGGACTCAGCTTGTTGTGTTTCCAATAATAATAATAATAATAATAATAATAATAATAATAATACATCACACAATCCTAGACACTTGGGAAGGGTCCGACGTGGGATCCAATACAACAGCCGGCAGAGTGTCTGCTGTGGACTCAGCTTGTTGTGTTTCCAATAATAATAATAATAATAATAATAATAATAATAATAATACATCACACAGTCCTAGACACTTGGGAAGGGTCCGACGTGGGATCCAATACAACAGCCGGCAGAGTGTCTGCTGTGGACTCAGCTTGTTGTGTTTCCAATAATAATAATAATAATAATAATAATAATACATCACACAGTCCTAGACACTTGGGAAGGGTCCGACGTGGGATCCAATACAACAGCCGGCAGAGTGTCTGCTGTGGACTCAGCTTGTTGTGTTTCCAATAATAATAATAATAATAATAATAATAATAATAATAATACATCACACAGTCCTAGACACTTGGGAAGGGTCCGACGTGGGATCCAATACAACAGCCGGCAGAGTGTCTGCTGTGGACTCAGCTTGTTGTGTTTCCAATAATAATAATAATAATAATAATAATAATAATAATACATCACACAGTCCTAGACACTTGGGAAGGGTCCGACGTGGGATCCAATACAACAGCCGGCAGAGTGTCTGCTGTGGACTCAGCTTGTTGTGTTATAATAATAATAATAATAATAATAATACATCACACAGTCCTAGACACTTGGGAAGGGTCCGACGTGGGATCCAATACAACAGCCGGCAGAGTGTCTGCTGTGGACTCAGCTTGTTGTGTTTCCAATAATAATAATAATAATAATAATAATAATACATCACACAGTCCTAGACACTTGGGAAGGGTCCGACGTGGGATCCAATACAACAGCCTGGCCTGGGAGGCGCCTGGTTCAGCCTAGTCGTCTGCTAGTGGCACTTAGTTTGAGGACCCTTGATCTAAATAATAATAATAATAATAATGATAATAATCATAATAATAATAATAATACTAATAATAATAATAATAAAAAAGACACTTGGGAAGGTCCGACGTGGGGTCTAATCCAACCGCCTAGAAGAGGGCCACCAAATGTTACCGCAACAAAGTGGCAGGCATTCTTCAAGAGTTTTGATGGTTTTATTCGGTAAAGCTAGGAAATCCACAAAAAACTGGGAAAACGTATTGACTTGCGTATAAGCCGAGGTTGGGAAATGCAGCCGCTACGGGTAAATTTAAAAATAAAAATAGATACCAATACAGTTACATTAATTGAGACATTAGCTGGCTAAATGTTTTTGACTATTTACATAAAACTGTAATTTAAGATAAGGCTGCCCAACTCTGATTAAACCATTATTCTAACCTTCAGTGTAAATTTGCTTGCATATCCTTCTAATAAAAATAGAATAAAATAATGGAAATGTAATAATAATAATAACAGTAATAATAGAGGAAAATAATAAATCTAATAATAACAATAATAAATAGAATGAAATAATACATATAATAATGACAACAATAATAAAGTAAAATGATCAATGTAATAATAATAATGCTATATTTATTAAGTATTTCTAACAGGGTAAAATAATAAATAACTTTGACTCGAGTATAAGCCAAGGGGGACTTTTTTTAGACTTAAAAAAGTGCTGAAAAACGAGGCTTATACTCGAGTATATACAGTATAGCCAGCCACCAGGTTCACAAAGCACTCAAGGTGTGACATGCAAAATACAACAAGTGCAAAAGAAAGCGTACAAGTAGACAATAAATAATCCACACAACATCATAAATTCACAGTACTCCCTGGTAAAAACAATAAAATACAGCAATTGCTGTCGATTAAATAGCAGTATTTGATCTCAGAAGCATAAAGTGCTCATAAAGAATCTAAAGGTTCTCATCTATATTATTAGAGTCTAAACATGGTGGAAGGATTGTCGGAAAAGCCAGGTCTTTCATTGTGTGTGGAAGGTTTGAAGTGCGGGGGCTCGCCTGATCTCCCTTGGGAGGGTATTCCAAAGCTGAGGGGCCACCACCAAGAAGGCCCTCTCTCTCGTCCCCACCAACAACTCCATTTCTGCAGTTGACACCTATTTTATTCCAATGTTTACAGCCCGGCCACGATGCCAGTAATTTAGTTAGTTAGTAATTTACCGCCACATTTAGAGGATCACAGGTTTGAAGGGTGGGGGCTCACCCGATCTCCCTTGGGAGGGCATTCCAAAGCTGGGGGGGGGGGGGTCATCACCAAGAAGGCCCTCTCTCTTGTCCCTACCAACAGCTCCATTACTGCAGCTGATAACTATTTTATTCCAATGTTTACAACCCGGCCAGTAATTTAATTAGTTAGTTAGTAAGTAATTTACTGCCACGGTTAGAGGATCACAGCTTAATTGAGTCAGAGTTGATGTTTTTATATGTCCACGTGTCTTGTTTTATGGTATTTGATATTGTGTTCACTTTTTGATTGTTTTTAGGCACTTTGTGCCATCTGTAAGCTACCCTGAGTCCCTTTGAGGAGAGGGTGGTGGGACAGAAGAATAAAGGTGTTGTTAGGTTCTTGTGGGTTTTTTCGGGCTATGTGGCCATGTTCTAGAGGCATTATCTCCTGACGTTTCGCCTGCATCTATGGCAAGCATCCTCAGAGG